TGTGCGGGGAAGAGCCGGCCGGCCGTGGAGCGGCTGGAGGCCTCCCAGGCCGGTCCCTGACCTGCGTTTGAACCTTGGTCCTAATAGCTAGCAGATTGGAGCAAGCTCACAGAGGCCTCCCGGAGAACCCAGGCCAGTCTGAGCTCGAGCAAGCCTGGCCACAGAACTGTCGCTGTTCTTTTACCAGCCCCTCTCTCAGGCCCCCGTGAGAGGGACTCAGAGCCGGGCTCTGCGGCCACCATCCAGGCCATGGCCCAAGGCCTGGTTGCCCACCGGGGGTCACCTTGGAGCTTCTGTGGACAAGACAGGCAACTCCTAAACTTCCTAATGCATTTTTTCTGCCTGTCCGAGGTCAGGCCAGGTGTTTTCAAAGGCAGCAGCAGCTCCGAGCTGGGGCCTTCCCTAGCCAGTGGGGTTCAGTGTCAGGGAGCCTGCACCTCACGTTCCCCGGGAATGTGGCTGTTTGGAAGGCCAGCCGTGCGCCTGCACAGACTGAAGGCGGACATGCTCGAGAGCCCAGGGGAACACCTGGCACACCACCCTTAGCCACCTGTCCTGTCCCGTCCAGCACTCTTTGTTGGTTAGCCTCATGAATGTCATCTGGCCCATGTGGGCTGGCCTCCAAAGTAAGGTCACATTTCCTTTCATAGTGACATTCAGTGACTCCGTGCACCCCTCTCCTGCTTAGCCCGGAACAGCTGTTCTTCCCCTTAGGTTCACCTGAAGGGTCTTCCTCAAGCAACGTCCGAGAACCCCGAGGGAGACTTGGTCCTGACTCGGTCATACTGGTTGCTCACCTGTTGCTGCCTGCCGGGAGGATGGCCCTCCTGCCTCTCTCGTCCACCCCCCCTCAGCCCAGGGGGGCACTGCAGGGAGGCTTCTGGTGGTCCTAGGAAACCCCAGCAGGGCCGAGACCCGTGTACCCACGGGGCACAGGGAAGGGCTCTGCTCCCCAAGGGCCCTATAGCCCGTCCCACTCACCCAGACGCTTCGGCTCACCCACACTGCCGTATGCCTGGGCCCCCAGAGCAGGAGAGCTGGTCAGAAGCGGTCCCAGCAGGAGTCTCACACGTCTGCTGCCCCGGCCTGCCCTCCTCTGTAAGCTGGTGTGCGCTCCTGGAAGTGGAAGGCTCTTCCCTTCCCTGCCCAAGGGGTGGCCTGTCCTGTGTCCAGAAGAGAGCCTTTCTTCTGCCCGGACCCGCCTGGAGGCCTCCTTGCTCTGCGGGGCCCTTTGGGCCCTTCGCTGCCTTCCGGCCTCTCCCAGTCCCAGGACTGTCAGGACTGTCGTGGCGTCGGAGCGGGCAGGTGGACGGGGGTGAGCCCTTGTCCTGCTGGACGTCACGGCTGCCTCTGGGGAGAGAAGGAGAGACCTCCTGATGGCTCAGGCGGCTGTCATGCTGCAGGCTGACTTTCCAGGCTGAGCCTCTCTGCAGGCAGGTCCCCGCAGGCCTCAGTGAGAGCCGGCGCCGACACAGATGCAGCCCGGGGCCTGACTGTTTGTTTCCTCGCCACGCCTGGCTCGCAGGACGCGCTCAGTGACTGCCGTTGGCTGAGGGCTGAGGGTGCCTCTTCAAAGGCACTGGGGAGATGGGCCGCCTGGGCACGAGAGAGTTTGAGCCACTGCCTGTCGTCGGGTGGCAGTCACTGAACGGGGGCAGGTGTGCGGCAAAGTTTCTTCCCTGAAGTGAGAGGAGGAATGGCACACTCGGCGGCGAGACTGAGGGACTGGAGATCTGTTCCGGCAGGTCACAGCGCGCCACGGGGCGCAGGAGCCTGTGGGGGGCGTGACTCTGCGTGTGTGCATCAGGTATCTGGAGGTGGCAACAGGTGGACAAAGTGTTCTAAATCTCCTCTGCGCAGTTCAGCCCGCCGACCTGCATCGGGCATCCACCGTGGCAGTGATACGGGCACCAAGTGTTCTGGGCACCTGGTAGAGCTACCCGCCCCGAGCCCTTGGGCTCATGGGGGGAGAGGCCCTGGCTCCGGTCACGGCGGGGGGCGTGAGGAACAAAAGACGCACTTTTACAGGAGCTCTAAGGATGTATGGAGCCCTGCTGGGGTGAGCAGGAAGGCTCCCCGGGAAGCCGTCTCCGCGTGAGGAAGGTCACGGTGTGAATGCGCATGGCACGGCCCAGAGTCCTGCTGCGAGCTGGAGCTGTGGGTCGTAGGAGGGGTGCAGAGCACTCTGCTCCGCAGCGGGAGGAGGGTGGGGCGCCCTTTCCTGCCCGGCAGACTCGTGTTTCCTCGTCAGGAGTCCCGTCTTCTACTCTGAGGTCCTCCTGCACGCACGCCCTCCTCGGGGCACGCCCAGCTCGCGCATCTGCCCGCTGCAGTCCGTGCGAGCCGCCGACCCCGAGGAGCCCAGGCCGTGTCTGATTCCTGTTGACACCTGACGTACGGACAGCGGGAAGCTGTCCCAGGAACTTACAGAGGGCAGTCCCGTCGGGCTGGTGTTTCAGAAAGGTGCTTGGCCGGTTGTGGAGCATGAAGTAGGAAAGAGCCAAGGGAGTGGGTGGACATGAGCATGTGTCACCGTCCTCAAGAGAAAGGATGTGCCGTCACCAGACAAAGCAGCGGAGGCCCTGAAGGCTGGCAGGGACCGGGCACGGCTTGATGGAGGCTCAAAGAAAGCCAGACAATTGCTCTCGCCATTTTGATGTTCCTTCCAGTCTGTCTTCTGTGCAGCCTTTGTGGTTAGTTACATAGTTTTCCTATTCACAGTAAGTGTGCATCCTGGGTTTTTTTCCCTCTAATCCAGATCTTTTTCCCGGGTTAATAAAAACTCTTCGTAAGTAGTGTATCGGCTGCACACTATTCAGTGGCTGCGTGCTCTTCTGCATGTGACTCTGGTCTGGTTTGTTTAACCGTTCTGCTCTTGCTGGTCTTTTAGATTATTTCCAGCAAATAATACTAAGGTGAACAGTTTTACAAAGACAGAAAGTTTTCCTCCTACATTCATAATAATTTTTCTAAGCCATAAATTCATAATCTGAGTCACTGGATCAAAAGATTTAAAGTTTCCTAAGCAGTCAGTCTTTGGAACAGACCAGATGAACATAGGCCTGACCTCAGCTGCAGAGGTGGGGGAGGGCGGTAAAGAGAAAAGGGTGATTTTAGTAGGTTTTTAAAAATAATTATTCCTGTTTTACCGAAGGAGGGCTGGGAAGAACCAAGCGGTGCTCTGCAGGGAAAAGGCGCCTCTGACTTGAAGTTCTGGCTTCTGGTGGTCAAGAAGGGCTTGCTTCTGTTTCTGCGTTTCCATCTGGGTCAGTAAGAGGACAGGCCACTCCCACAGGCTCGTTTCCCTCTGAGGAGGAGAGAAATCGTCCAGCACCCAATGATGCAGATCACTAGCTATGTTAACAGCCTTGCAGTTACGAAAAAAAGTTATATTAATGTATCCTCCTAATGTGCAGTTAATTTTAGTGAAAATTTCCCTAGTGATTTGAAAGTCCAGTGACTTTGTAAATCTAGTAACTGGCTCTGCATTTGGAAATGTTAACGTTGCCATGGCCAGCCGGGCTCCAGAGTGAGGCACACGGGACCTCCCTGAGCCCTGGCTTCCCGGTGGCACAGACGGAGTCCCACACTCACCTGAGCCTCCCTTCCCCACCCCGGCCCCACTCGGGAATCCAGAAAGAAACTGAGACTTCATTATCAGAATTCTTTTATTTTTATTTTTATTTTTATTTTTATTTTTAGAGAGAGGGGAAGGGAGGGAGAAAGAAAGGGAAACATCAATGTGTAGTTGCCTCTAGTGCGCCCCCTACTGGGGATCTGGCCTGCCACCCAGGCCTGTGCCCTGACTGGGAATTGAACTGGCCATCCTTTGCTCCCCAGTCCCGTGCTCAATCCACTGAGCCACACCAGCCAGGGCTCATTACCAGAATTCTTGTTCGCCATCTTTCCTAATCAGAGAGAGCTCATGCGTGCCTCCAAGTTAACATGTCCAAAAACCAAACTTTTGATTTCCTATCCACATTTAAGTTCAGTCTTCCCACCCAGCAATGGAATGACCACCTGCCTGGTTGTTCAAATCAAAAAATCAAACCATCGTTGATTTCTCCTTTTTTGTCCTCACCACGCCCCAACCTCAAATCCATCAGTGTATCCTGTCGATTCTACTTCTAAAAGTTCACTTCAAAGATAAATCTCAAATTGATCATTTGTGGCCCTCTTGCCTGCCCGCCCTCCCCTCCCAGCCTCCATCATCGCTTGCCTGCTTTTCTCAGTAGCCTCCTGCAGGACTCCTGCGTTGGCGGTCTCCCTGGCCAACGTCTAACTTTGCCCGTGTCATCCACCCCTAACGTAGAACGTGTCAGAGTCCTTCCTTTGCTATTAAGGCGATACCAGAACTTCTCATGTAGCTCAGAAGGTCGTGCATTTTCTGCCCTGGCCTTCTCCCCACCGTCACTGCCCTGGGTGTGGCGAGCGCTGGCTTAGCCGCCCTCCCTCAGCTCTGGAGCTCCTGCACCAGGCCCTCTGCTCTCCGCCCCCCTCCCCTCGGTCCAGGCAGCTCCCCCTTCCCTCATCCCCAGGAGTCTAGGTCCACTCATTTACTTCTGGAGAAACGTGGGAGGTTTGCCCTGCACTGGAGGACCTATTGTAACTGGAGGTCTTGTATATGCATTCATTAGCTTATGGGATCGTTGCCGCCCATCTCCTGTGCTGTGTATAGACTGTGAAAGAGGCCGCTTCCTGCAGCCGGTCACCGTTCCTTCCCCATCAGCCAGCTCAGGGTCGCAAAACAGGTGCTTCGTAAGCAACAGGCTGCGTGCCGACTGAGCAGGCGGCGTCCTGGTAACAGTCCTTACCGCCAGCCGCCTCCCCGTGAGGCACGGGCTCTTCCCGGCGATGGCTCGCCCAGGCTCTCCACAGCGCGTCAGCTGGAGGGAGTGTGATTTTGCTTCTTTTTTTTTTTTCCTTTTCATTTCAACTGTCACAATGTACAGAGCATTCTACCTAAAACTTACTCGTTTTTCTCTCCTCTCTTTACTCAGCTGAAGCTTGCTTTCACCCTGGACCACGAGACCGGACTGCCGCAGGGCTGTTACATCTACGAGTACCGCGACAGCAACAAGTAAGCCCCTCGGCGGAAGGAGCGTCCCCTCACCCTGTCCCGCAGGGGGAGCGCCTGCGGGCTTCCTTACCCTGCGCTCCCCCTGCAAAGGGACCGTCAGGGAGGGAGTCCCAGTGTCTGTGACTGTCCCGGGAAGTAGGCGGCAGGAAAGTATTTCTCCCGTGCCACCCCTCTGGGCCCTGAACAGAGGACTCGAAGTGCCTGCAGGAGAGCAGTTGTGAGGTCCGCCCCAAAGCGGAGCTTCCTGCCTGGGCTCCCGCTGTCCCCCAGCCCGCCCCCACTCTGTCGTGCCCCCCCCCTCCCCGCCCCGTGCCAGCTGACTGGGTTCGCCGTGGGCCTCGGCTTGCCCTGCAGTTCTGTGGGACTGCACTGGAGCGTACGGCTCTTGTGGCGACAGTCCGCCTTGTGAATTTTGTGGTTGGAGATTTCTGGGTGCTTCTGGAGATTGGACCCAGAGGCCTTCTCGGGAACACGGCAGCTGGCCTAGGTCCCTAGCCCCACCGTTCTCCCTGGCACCGTGCTTCCGGGCCAGTGTGTTCTTGTCCCTGAGCTAGGAAAAGGGGTAGTGAGGGAGGCAAAGGGAGTACGCCCTGAGGATGGCAATGACAATGGCAGTGATGATGAGTAATGACGACGGCCACCACTGAGGACCTCTGCTGGGTGTCAGGTGCAGTCCTGGGACATCACTCTCGCTGTCCAGTTTAATCCTCCTGACGACCCGAAGAGTCCCCTCGCGCACAGGTGCTGCCGGAGCCGGCACTGGGGTTTGCTTTCACTGCTGATGTAGTTGCAGAAGCCGACGTCTAGGGGACTAGGCCACAGTCACTGGCCACAGCTGTGTGAGGCAGCGGCAGCATCATCAGCTGTCATCCCAGCTGGCCCCCGCTGGAAACCCCAGGCAGCGGCGAGAGTAGTCCTGGTGCAGACCGAGGACAGCACGCCCTGGTCTGCCCGTCAGGGGTGTCCAGGCCGCTCCGTCTCCCCCGGCGGAGGAGCTCAGCGGGCACACGCCGGTGGGGGTGTATGCCAGCTTCCAGAAGAGAAACTCATGTCTTTCTCAGGAACTCTCGCTCTGTTCAGGGTCGAGATGGTTCCTGGGTGCCTTCACAATCAAACCCCCCACTCGGGGTAATTTCAGGGCATTGCTGTTACCTGGGTGGTCATCTTTAGGGGGAAGTCACGGTGAGCTCGTGTGCACCCTCAGCTCCCACCAAGCCAATCGTTTAGGAAAGGCTGGCCGCGAGTCCTTCGCACCACCACTCCACCTCCGGGTCCGCCTGTTCCAGCTGCGCGGGCCACGGCGTCGGAGCTGCCCTCTCAGCTTCTTGTCATCCCCAGAGACGTGGGCTGGACTTGTCTGGGGTCCAGGGAGGGCAGGGACAATTTAGCGAGTCTCTGGGTGCCGAGGGCTGGCGAAGAGGAGAAACAGAAGCCGTATGTTGCTTGGTGTGCCACCCTGCCTATCAGCGCCACCCTGTGCTGCCTACTGCTGTCGTGGCGCCAGCACAGCGGCGTCCGTGAGCTCTGATGCAGCGGCCCTCAGAGCGCTGATTCGGGAGGAGGCCGGTGCCCACGTCTCGGGCGGCCCTCAGAGCGCTGATTCGGGAGGAGGCCGGTGCCCACGTCTCGGGCGGCCCTCAGCTGTGTGCAGTGCGCGCTGTCCGAAGGCCGACTCCTTTCCCCACTCGGGCATCGTGAGGGGACGCACACAGAACTCCATGAGCTTGACCGTGACTTTCTCTTCTCCCCCAGGCTCCGCCCTGTGTTCCCCTATTTGCTTTCGGGGTCATTTCCCCAGAAGTGCCTGCATCCCGCGATGGGTGTGGTAGCGAGGTTCAGGAAGTGGGGGCATTTGCCCTGGGCCCTGAGGGACCGAATGACGTGGAGGTGGCAGCAGCAGGGAGTCGAGGTTCTACGTAGGAGAGACATTAGCTTGACATCTCGATGTTAACGTGGAATAATTAATTATTGAAACCACGACTTGTTTTGTTCGTTTCAGCAGCCCTAGTGACTAGCCCCGCACCTGGCAAATAATGCTGGGTGAAGGGGGTGGGGGCGCCCAATTTCGTCCTTTCGGAGCGAGAACCTGACTGTCGGGAGTCACATCCCTCCCTGGCCTTTGACTTTGCCTTCGCTGCAGGGTTACGGTGAGGGTGACGTAACTCACGACACCAGGGGACACCGCCTGCTGGGGTGTTTATGGATTCGGAAGAACCAACACGCAGAAGGAGGAAGCTGTAAAAATTTGGTTTAACCCTCTGGGTAGAGCAGTAATTATAGCTGTTTACGTCAACTGCCTGCCATTGTCTGCCTGAGAGTGAGAAGCATTAAATGTGCCAGGCGAACTTGCAGGAGCCGAGTTGGGTGGTCAGGCCGCACTTCGGCCATGACCTCGCGAGTGTGTCCGGTCCAGGGCGCACAGGAGTGATCAGAGTCCCCACCTCCTGACTGCCCACGCCGGCCACGGGCTTACCCAGGTCGCTTCCAGTTCCAGAACCGCGCAGGACAGGCGTTACGGCCCCAGCCTCACGGGTCACTAAATAGAAACAAACGGAGGCTGGGAGTCCAGGAGGCTTGCCTGCCCAAGGTCATGCCGTGGTCAAGAGCAGAGCCTGAATTTCACCTCGGCTCTGGCAGATGCCGGAGCCCAGCTGTGCCGTCACACCCGCTGCCTTCGTCTCGGCCGCTTACCGCCCGGGCCCCCTCTAAGCTGGCCTGCCCTCGGAGCCGTCCGTCTGGAAACCCTGGGGTTTCTGTCCCTGCAGACCCCTGGGTGGGTGGATAGACAGCCTGGTCTGGTGGAGCACGCTCTCGACGTGCCGGTGTGAATCTGAGTGCGGCCACTCTCTGTGGCAGGCCACACCGTCGCCCTGCATGCAGCCTACCCGGCAGAGACCTGAAGAGGGCAGCGCCCCGTGGCGTGGGGGCTGGGCAAGCTGGGAGGCGCTGCGGAGGTCTGGCTGTGGCGCCTGCCCTTGCAGCACTGGGCCTGGCCCGGGCCAGAGATCCCCGGATGCCCGCAGCCTGCGCCCCACCTCCACCTCACTCTGGGGTCAGGTTCGTTTGCTCAGCCATTGAAACTGAAGAGTTTGGTTTTTCCTGGCTCGCTGGGTGACTCACCAGCAGAGCTAGTAGCCAGCACCTAGAGCATCGGGGTGAGCTCCTGCGGGACTGATTTTCCTCAGTCGGAGTGCCTCCCGCCTTATCACCCCAGTCAGCTCCCCATGGTGACTCCTCCTCTTGCCTGCTGGCCCCTGGACACGCGCAGTCAAAGAACCCTGGCAGCAGCCATCCCTGGCGTTCAGAGGGACCCCTGCCGTGTTACCTCGGGCCCCCGGTGTCTCAGGCTCCGCCACCCCCCGAGTGCCCATGAGCTCCCCTCTGCGGCCGCCTCCCCCGCCGTCCTCTCTGGCCGCAGAGGGATGCCACCACCAAACTCCCCGATGGTGCGGGCATCTCCCCGTGTGCTTCTGATGGCCCTGCGGACGGGGCTGCCCCGCAGGCCCTCTGTCCTGGGGCCTGTGGACTCAGCGATGCGTCCGTGCCAGCCCGGCTGCTTCCCTGGGCCTCTCTGACCCCGCACTGCCGTCTTCCGGGCCGGCCCACTCCTCCCACTCGGCTCGGCCTCGGCCACCACTTTCTCCAGGCCTCTCAGGGCCACCCAGCGGCAAGTTTGCCCCGTGCCCTGGGGTCTTTGCCAGGGTGCTGAACCCCACATCTCATTACCCCCAAATCAATGAACTGTTGCTCATCTGGTCTTATTTCCCGGTCCCCTTGATCAAGCCCCTCAATTAGCAACTAATTGTTCTCACTCTTGGTGTGAAATCTTGTTCATCTCCTGTCAGGCCCGGCACGTCCCCGGCTGGGTCATCCAGGCAGTCGGCCCTCGTTAGGGGCCAGGCAGCTGCAAAGCAGGTTGGGGAGGCTCTCAGTGAGGGGGAGAGACTCCTGCGTGCCTTCCAGGACGAAGGGGCATTGCCAGCCTCCCGGGGGGCACAGTGGGCCCGCTTCCAGCGCGCTGCCCGGGAGGCCCTTCGGCTCCCCCACTTAGCCTTCCACCGCGTGTGCAGGCCCTCGGACGGTCACTGCGCCCCGCTGGACACTGGCACGCCTCACAGTAACCAGCCAGCTCCACGGACCTGGGCCTCCCGGGCGCTCGGATGCTCCGGTCATCACAGAGTGATTGAGGGCTCTTCCCCAGGTCCCCGCTGGTGACGCTTTGAGCAGTCGGGGCCCCTGCTTTGTGCCAGGGACCCTCCGGTCCCCACACACCCCTCCGAAGAGGGCCCCCTTCGCCCGCCAGGCAGTGAGTGAGCCAGTCCCAAACTCCGCCTCGCTGTCCGATTTCTCGGATCTACTCCGGTGCTGCTCGTGGGAGCTCGGGCCTCCTGAGGGGCAGGCGCCAGGACCGGACGAGACGTGCGGGGGTGTGCTGAGGGGGTTGGGGCCGTGGGGGGTGAAGGGAGGAGAAGAAAGCCAGGAGAGGGCCTCCAGACCCTCCACTGCCGCTGCCGCTGAGAGCGAAGGGTGCCTCTCCCGGCTCAGGAGAGAGGGGAGCTTGAAGTCAAGGAGAGGGGGGCTCCGGGGGGTATTAGAAGCAATGCAATTGGACAGGCCCTGCAGAAGCGGCCTCGTGGGAGCGAGCCTGCCGCTGTAACGTGCGTGTTGCGTGGGCCCCTTGCCGTGCGGGTGCGAGCCCCCCGTTGCCCTTCACGGCCCTCGCTGCTGGGCGTCGCCTGCCCGGGTTGCCGGGGTCACGGCGGTGATCCGTGAAGGATGCGTTTCTCCGCCGTCCCCACCACGCAGAGAGAGCGTGGTGGCTCTTTGTTCCCTCTCGTCGCCTCACTCCATGCGGCGACAGTCGTGATATCTTGGATGAGAAAAGGCTGTGCTCATGTGACCTCAGTTTTGCCCACAGGAAGGGACAGGCATAGGAACACTTCTACAGAGAGAACGCTGCTGTAGAGCATTGTGTAGAGAGGGTAGCGATTCCCCGAGAG